TAGGCATATGAAATACACAATTGTATTTATATTTAAACTTCACTACAGATGAGAAGTACTTAAAATATTTATTCTTTAATAAAACATATGTAAAAACAAATTTTTATGCATTATATGTACTAAGAGGATTTTGTGGTCAAAGAGATGTTGCATGTAATCAGTCCTTCTCCTATTTGTGTGTGTGGCAAATTTCAGCATATTAAAATAGACACTTTGTCAGTCCAGTGACCACAGAAGCTAGTCATGCTGATCTATCTAGAGAGGATATTGCATTTACTTGAGTTGTACTTCTGGGCTAACCACAAACTAGCCATGTAATCTTGAGTCAATTCACTTCTTTGGACCCATTTTCCTGTTTCCAAAATGAAGATATCCAAGTTCCTAGCAGTGCCAATACAAAATAGGTCTATGAGTTGGTTAAGCATTTTTGTTTGAGTTCCCAGTTGAGAGAATTTGGCTTTTGTATGCCTTTCTTTATATGAACATGTCCTAGTAGAAGAAGCTGTAATGCTCCTGCAAGCAGACAGAACTAAATGACTAAATCATAGCACCAGCCATTGTAAACAGTGGGTTTTAGCATTCCTCCCTCAAGTCTGTCTTACACATACCCCTTCAAACACAGTATACAGTGCTTCCTCAGAGACAGCAGTGGTAGGGGCTGAAATGCAGGCTCTATCTCCCTCGCCAAGGCACCGGCAAATGCATACACATTTTGCCTGTACTCTGCATTAATCACTTGTGGATTCTGACTTGCATGTCAGAGTAGGACTGTGCTCCATAGGGCTTTCAATAGACAGTGTTTGAAATGAGATTGCCAGGGTTTTCCCAAGGTATCTCTGAGTGGTCTTGAACCTCTGGCCTTTTGGTTAGCACATAACATTTTGCCCTCCTCACAGAACCCATGATAACCATTAAACCCATTGCTGCCAAGGCAGTTCCAATCCTATACCAGTTCCAATCCTATACGACAGAGGGAACATGCCCCATTAGGCTTTCTAAGCCTGTCATCCTTATGAAAGCAGATTGCCACACTTTTCTTCATTGGAGCTGGAGTTGGAAACACCAAACTTTTCAGTGAGCAATTAAACATTTATTCACTGCACCACCTGAGCGCCTTCCAATCACTATGATCAAAGAGTAATAGGACTCAGTTGGTATCCGAACTGATAAGGAAGACAGAAGCCTATCTACTGGATGCATGGAGGAGCAAAAAGGGGGCACATTCCCCAAATAAATGAGTTTCAAATATCAAATAGTAAGCCACGTCGGGGTGGCCCAGTGTGGTTCCTTGCAAAATCCAAGGCGGGGACAAAGAAACACAATGGTATTGGGGAAGGTGCACAGCAATGACTAGACAGAGGCGGGTGAACACAGCCCCTGGTTGTCAGGAAGGGGAGATGGTGATGTGGTGGGAGTGGGGGCTGAGGTTGACTTTGATTTTCCTTACCCTCATGAAGTTAGGGGAGGCCAGACATTGCCCCATTCTTACAAACAACAAAAAACCTAGACTATGAAATAAAAACTGTCTTGGCAGTCACTAAGCTGTAACAGAATGTATTTTCTTCATAGGGTTATTTCAGAGCAATAAACATTGTAGTTGCACTGATATGTTCAATATTTTCTGTATTTTTGATTTGTTTTGTTTTTGTTCGTTCATATTAGGGTGTATCTCAGAGGTGGTATATCATTGGAGGTGACCCTTTTGAAGTTGTGTTATGTTTTTCTGATTTTTGGTATATGAAACTCAGGCTTGATGAACATATAGGGATAGCAAGTAGAATAAGGGTGTCGGGGGTGGAGTGGGGGATAAAGTGGTGGTGGATAAAAGGGAGACGATGTCAAGGAGTTCAGAAAGAAAAAGAATGTTTGGAAACTGTGGTAGCAATTGTACACTTCTGCTTGACATGATTGAACCATGGAATGATATAGTATATGTGTTAACTCCCACTTCCCAGTTAATAATAATAATAAAACAATCTGAAACTGAAATAAAATATGTTGGATGATATTCCTTGTGGAGCAGCTGCTCTGTGACAAGTTTTAAAACCTACCTTGTGTTTCTCAGAAAGGGATAGAATTTAACACTGATATTTGTAAATATGACATTCTGCTTTTGAATGTAGCCATCTACCCACTTTAGTAGTGGTTTGAGATTTTTTAGATTAAAGGAGAAAAAATACCCATGGGTGGTATAGATGGTTCACATGATAAGCTGTTAACCGGAGGGTTAGAGGTTCTAGTACCGGGAGAAAGACCTGGTGGTCTACTATTGAAAACCAGCCATTGGCAATGGAGCATAGTCTGACATATGTGGGTTCTCATGAGTTGGTACAGATGCCATGGTTTGGCATTCAACAAAGGATCCTGCCTACGTACCGTAGTATGAAGTTGAAGCTCAACAAATGCTGGTCCTTCTTGGATAAAATGGATTTGGGATTTATTTCTTCTTGGCTAAAATATTAATTAGCCTTTGTGTGCCTATGAACACACACAGACAAAGCGGGTTTTCGGTATGAGAGTTAATGACACACTCACTGGGGAGGGAGTCACAGTTAATACTCCTGATCTCATGAAGTCTGATGAGCACTCTTGTTGCTTAGCAGCGGTAGTCTTTTTTGAGCAGCGCAGAACAAGGTCACTCAAAGTTTCACTATTATTAGTGAAGGAAGGTAACTATCATTACTGACAAGACAGAGATGTAGGCAGATTTCTATTCTGGAGAAAGATGAGGCTTTCTACACCCCTAAACATGTACAGTCTCAGGAAACCCACAGGGCAGTCCTATTCCGTCCTTAGGATTGCGAGGCACTGGGAACTTGACGGCAGGGACTGAGATGACTAAATTAAAATAGTCACGTCTACTTACTAGAACCTATTCAGAAAGAGCTCAAAGGTTTTATGGGGCTTCATTTCAGCTTCATTTTTCCCTTGAGATATACTGGTAAAATTAATCCGTTACCAAATATACTCGTGTATAAGTAGAGTTTTTCAGCACAATTTTAATGCGGTTTTTGTGGTAAAATTAGGTGCCTCACTGATATTCAAGTCGGCTTATACTTGAGTATATATGGTATGAGAGTTCAGTAGAAAAATATTAATTTTATTAAGATTCTCAAAACCCATTATCTTTTTAAAGCTTAATAAAACTTAAATCAAAAAGAACAATTTTTTTCATTGTTGGGAAAAGTAGTAGATTGCTAATACCTTTTTAAAAGAGGTACATTTTTAGATCCAAATATCTTGACATTTAGAATTTCAAAATTTAAAGGGGAAAAAAATCAATAACTGTAGACACAAGCTAGTTTTCTTTAAAGTATTTGGTTCAAAATCTCAGTGAGGTTGCTTTCTTTCTCTCCATGTTATGAAAAAGAGTATCTAAAATTTACCAGGGAAGATAAATGAGAAAGCAGCTAAGGTAAAATAATGGAGGAAGACTTCATCTACTCGGTTTCAAAGTAAACATGCAATGATCACAACATGCCGCTGCCTGCGAAAGGCACAGCCAGAGCTGTACCCACACTCTCCCTGCCAGCAAGTAACTCTGACTGAGACACCACATAGGATAGGGCAGAGTTGCCCCTGTGGATTTCTGAGATTGTAACTCTGCCCGAGTAGAAAGCCTCATCTTTTTCCTGCAGAGCAGCTGGTGGTTTTGAACTGTTAACTTCCGGTTGGCAACATTGTAGCCTAGGGCTAAAGATCCAATGTATGAAACAGACAGCACTGGAAGAAATGGGAAAAGATCGAGGACTACTTAGTAAACAATAGTAAGGCGACTGGCCAAAGGATCTCTGGTGGCATAGCGGGTTATGCGCTGGGAGGCTAACCACAAGTCCCACCTGCTGCTCTGTGGAGAAAGATGCGGTTTTCTGCTCCTGTTGAGAATTACAGTCTTGGAAATCCACAAGGCAATTCTACTCTGTCGGACAGGATTGATATGAGATGGAATCTATGGTAGAGACAGGGCAATTGGTCAATTATTTGCCCTGTACTCTTCACTAAAATGTTTGATATTTAATCTGTTACATAAACTATGGCTCTCTATTCCTTTCACTTTCTCTTCATAGCACTTATCACTTTTTGACATATTTATTTTTCAAACTAGACTACAAGGGCTATAAAATAGGTTCCCTTTGAAACTGCCTATCTGTAACCTAAGAGTGATAACAAACAATGAGATCGTTTTTGCACATTTCACAATTCTAAGTCTGGCTTGGCCAGGCACTGGGCTGAGTAATGAACACCTTCTTCGGAAAGCCTCTTCTGGGCTTTCAAAGTTGCCCTTTGCAAAGGCTCAACTCAGAGTAAAGTCCTGTTTTAGAACCCAAGAATTTCCAAAGATGAGAGTTAAATAGATTTCTATGAAGAGTCCTGTTTTCACTTTGAAAAAAGTAGATGCTGAATGCTTCATATGCCACGTTATTCTTTTAAAATCCACATACACCAAATTTTGTTTTGTGTTTCTTAAACAAGTTTAAATCAAATCCATTACAGATTAAAAGGAAGAAACATTCATTTTGATGCTTTCCCATATTCAATACTCAAACGTTGCTCTGCTTTGGCCCCTTTTCTCCCATTAGAAGGATGCTATATTTTTCTGATGACCAAGCATCATTTGTACCTTGTTCCTTGACTATAATTTGGTCTGATTTCTTCATTTATGCATTAAAATTCTGCAAAGTTCCAAGGCCAAATTTTGAAGCCATGAAGTCAATTCCTACTTCTAATGGCCCTAGCGGGCAGGGTAGGACGGCCCTTGTGGGTTTCCAAGATGATAACAGTAGAAAGTCTCATCTTTCTCCCTTAGAGCGAGCTGTTGGCTGGGTCAAACTGCTCACCGGGTGGTCAGCAGCCTAATGGATAACCCACCATACCACCAGGGTTTCGCTGCATTGGCCCCAAACAGTTGCAAAAATCTTAAGAATGTTGCAATAGAAAATGTCATCCTTTGGGGTGATCATTTTTGATTAGAGGTCCATAAAACACAACATTTGACTTACCAAGGGTAGGGTCATATTCCCAGATGAACCGCTTGGTTAGGAATCTCACCACAAGAGCTGTAGAAGAAAAGAGCAAAGTCTGAACTTAGATAAAAGTAAGACAATTAAGGAAAAAAGAAATATCTTATCATATTTGTTTTATATTTTCTTGGTTCCGATGAATTGGTCTCATCCAAGATATTTATTTGTCCATATTCAAATATTTTTCAAGTTCCTATTGTGAACTGAGAACTGTTCTGGTGTTTTAATGGTTCGCTCTACTTCAATCAACCGTTTAACTTTATAACTAAAAGAACAAATCTAAACAAATACCAGCAACAATGTGAAAATTCTCAAAGATAAAAATTTCGGCTACACAATGAAACCAGAGAAAGAACACCATGACATAAGTTTGGAGTTTGAACACAAAAAGGCTTGACAAAGCTAAGCAAGACATGTGCTAACTTAAACTCCAATGAAAACAAGACTAGCTGCTAATCTGCATTATTAAAAAGTAGATATTCAAAACTAAGCAAAACCATTTCTCTCTAACAGTCTAACTCATTGGGTTTCTATGCGATCAAGTAGAATTTCTCCATATTGTTCTCAAGGCTGTAAGTTTACCAAAGGTAACATTAAATATTTATTATGTCTCTCAGTCTGATACTGTACTAAACACTTTACTTCCATGGTCTCCATCCACCTTCACTTCATTCCAATGTTTGCTCAAATTTTTCATATAAAGCAGCCGAGGGTCTGAGAGGTTCACTAGTTTAACTCGACTCATGTAGCTAGTTAGTGATCATGCTCTTAGGACTTGAATCCTAATCACTTTCAAAGATATAATGTATTTTGTACATGAAACTCATTAAGGCCTAAGCCATCTGGATAATATTTAAATGATGATAAATCAGAGGAAAGTAAATGCTAAAATGTGTGGACTCTGTCCTCAGAAACAGATAGAACATTTCCTTATGATTCCATATAGTTGAAAATAGTGGTTTCAAATCATATTTTTGAAGAAGGGAAGGGTCATAGGTCCGTAAAAAGTGTACATACAATATGGTAAATAATTTTCTCCGTCTTCTAAAGACCCCCAGTGGTCTCCCTAGAGTTCTGTTGACCCAACTAAAGAACACTTGACTCATAATTTATAGTTTAAAAATATCTATTATTAGCATATTCTATTTTTTTACCCAAAGGGCCTCCATGTAGTAACCTACTTGAAGAAATAAAGCTAGTGAGTTAAAGGTCACTACCAGTCTCCTCTACCCTTTGCCTGTGACCACTGTTTGGGTCAACAGAGGTATATATGTATGCCCCGCCACAGTGTCTTTTGAGAGATGGCAGTATGACTTACAAAAGAAAAAGACAGTGACTTTGCTACCGGTGACTGAAAGTAGTAATGTTTTTTTAATTTCAGAGTGTGAGGTTGAATTTGAGCCAAAATATTTGCAGTGCCTGGAGTCGCAAGGCCACTGACCCTGGAATACTTCCCACAGTGAGTCCACTTGTGGTTTTGTCCTGCAGGTTCCAGCTTGTCCCTGTATACTCTCTTGAGACTGTGACATTTTTTTGCATGTATGACACAATGTAAGGACTAGAAAGATATTTTTTAAAATTAGGAATATTTGTAAAGCAAAAATAACTTCTGGAACTGTTCAAAGTCTCCATCTGTTATTAGAAATATGTATTTTTAACTACAAGAACCTAAACCTAGAAAAATTCATTTGAGTGAAATCTTTAAGGAAGGAGTTGTGAAAGTTAACAAAAAAATTCAAGACCCCCTCCCCCCAGAAGAATTTACTTCAGAGGACAGTACTGAAGCTACAGTTCAGGGAGAGGGACATGTCTGATCAGAGCACACGGGAGCAAATGAAGAGGGAGGAAGAGAGAGTGGAACACATCCTGGCCCACCAAGCTTTGAGGATGATATCCCTGCTCAGTGCAGCCAATGCATAGAGAAGACCAGATGGTTGGCCCAACTATGAGACACGACATCCCTCACTGACCCTTAGCCCTACCGGGGACAACACTGGAGACATGGTGCGGGAATTGTGCCCAAACTGACCCCACCATACCGAGGCAAAACACTAACAGGACAGCAAGAGGAACAGAGCAAGGAAGTCCTGAGGGAATACTAAAAATAGACTTTGGGGCCAGGGTATGTCACCCCAACAGACTCAACCAGAAAACACTCCTAAAGGTCAACAAACAGAGCTTGAACAATTTACAGGCTTTTCTTTTCTTTTGTTCATTGGTTTGTTGTTGTTGTTTTGTTTTCTTTTGTTGCTTTGTTTTGCTCTGTCTTGGTTTTTGTGATTATTATCTCTGCAGGTTTATCAAATAAGATGGGCGGGATAAACAATCTGGAGGAGAAAACAGTGGGACTGACGGTTGGGGGGGCATGGGGGAGGGGGAGGTGGGAGAAAGGAAGTGAGTCTTAACAAACCCAGGGACAAGGGAACAACAAATGATCTAAAATCAATGGTGAGGAGGGTGTAGGAGGCCTCATAGGACTTGATCAAGGGCAATGTAACTGAGAGGAATTACTGAAACCCAAATGAAGGCTGAACATGATAGTGGGACAAGATGAAAGTAAAAGGAAATAGAGGAAAGAACTAGGAGGCAACGACATTTATATAGGTCTAAATATAGGCATGTACATATGCAAATATATTTATATATGACGGTGGGGAAATAGATCTATGTACATATATTTATAGGTTTAGTATTAAGGTAGCAGATGGACATTGGGCCTCCACTCACGCACTCCCTCAATACAAGAACACTTTGTTCTATTAAACTGGCATTCCATGATGCTCACCTTCCTGACATGATAGCTGAAGACAAAGTGGGTACATAAGAAAATGTGGTGGAGAAAGCTGATGGTGCCTAGCTATCAAAAGTTATACCATCTGGGGTCTTAAAGGATTGAAGATAAACACATGGCCATCTAGATGAGAAGCAACAAAGCTCACATGGAAGAAGCCCAACAGCCGGTGTGATCATGAGGTGTCGATGGGATCAAGTATTAGGCATCAAAGAACAAAAAAATCATATAATTGTGAATGAGGGGGAGTACCGAGTGGAGACCCAAAGCCCATCTGTAGACAACTGGACATCCCCTTATAGAAGGGTTGTGGGGAGGAGACCAGGCAGTCAGGGTGCAGTATAGCAATGATGAAACATACAACTATCCTCTAGTTCCTAAATGCTTACCCCCGCCCCCCACTATTATCCCAATTCTACCTTACAAATCTGTCTAGCCCAGAGGATGTACACTGGTACAGATAAGATCTGGAAACACAGGGAATCTAGGACAGATAAACCCCTCAGAACCAATAATGAGAGTAGTGATACCAGGAGGGGAAGGGGAAGGTGGGGTAGAAAGGAGGAACTGATCACAAAGATCTACATATACCCTCCCTCCCTGGGGGATAGACAACAGAAAAGTGGGTGAAGGGAGATGTCGGACAGCATAAGACATGACAAAATACTACTAATAAATAAATTATAAAGGGTTCGTGAGGGATGGGGGCGGGATGGAGGGGAACAATGAGGAGTTGATACCAAGGGCTCAAGTAGAAAGAAAATGTTTTGAGAATGATGATAACAAATGTACAAATGTGCTTAACACAATGGATGTATGGATGGATTGTGATAAGAGTTGTACGAGTCCCCAATAAAATGATTTTAAAAAGAAAAAAATTCAAATCCAATTGCAAGACCATTTAAACTATAATAATTTCTCAGAGAAATACTTCTAAAACACATTAAACACACCACTGCCTTTCAAAGTCAAGTACAATAACATGACTGAATCATGACAGAGATGTTTTGCAACTAGTTATGGTCTTTGATTAGTACCCCATATGATTATGTGACTACACTTTTGGAAACTGTAGAATGGATGAGGTAAATATCTTCCCTCAAATGCTATGGCTGTTTTCCTTAGCTGTGGCCTCTCTGCCTATCTCTAAGAATCCATCTAGTGTAATAAAAGTAAGAGAATAGAGGGCTAAAGACTGACAAGCCACAAGAACAAGTCTGGTAGAACTGTGCCCAAAACAAGAGTGGGTTAGTTCTGAGGTTAGGTTCTGGGTGGCCTCTTTTGCTAATATAAACATGTTTCATGGGGAGCCCTAGAGAGAGCTCGCTAGGTGCCAATTTCTGGTTTATTTTCAGGCAGTTGGCAATGAAATTAAGCCTAAGGTTTAGAATGTTTTCTGTTTAACAAACACATAAATCGTTGTTGTTTTTTTCATCGTTTTATTGTTTTAACAATAGAATCACACATTAAATGATTAAAACACAATCAAACCCCTCAGCAAAAAGAAAACATACTTTTTACACGTGTAAGTTCTAAAGTGTCTGAAGTACCTAAATGCCATTCAACCAAATTACCAATGTAATTGTGAGTTTATTAATATTCAGTTCAAATTGTACTATACTTTTCTTTTTTCAGTTCATTGGGGATTCTTGAAATTCTTATAACAATCTATACATCCATTTCATCAAGCACATTTGTACATATGTTACTATTATCCTTTTCAAAACATTTTCTTTGTACTTGATCCCTTGGTATCAACTCCTCTTTTTTTCTCTCCCCCCCCACCCTCATGAACCCTTGCTAAATTATAAATTATTATAATTTTCATACCATACACTGTCCACTGTCTCCCTTCACCCATGTTCTGTTGTTTGGCACCCTGGGGTAGGGGTGGGAGTGTTGTACTTCAATCATGCGATGAGTTCCCCCTTTCTCACCCCACCTTCCCCTTACCTTCACAGTATCACTACTCCCATAGTGGTCCTGAGGGGTTTATCTGTCTGGATTCCATGTGTTGAGAGCTCTTCTCTGTACCAGTGTACATGCTCTGGTCTAGCCGGATTTGTAAGGTAGAACTAGTGTCATGATCATGAGGGGGGCGGGGGGAAGCATTCAAGAACTAGAGGAATGTTTTATGTTTCGTCGGTGCTATACTGCCAAATGCAGTATAATTTTCTTACAGAATGGTTTTATATACCATGGTATATATGCATCCACTTCTCACCTCCTCCACCAATACACAGTC